ATGATTAAAAAGAGGTCACACTTTATTTTAAGTTTCTTCCAAATGCTCTTGACTTTCCTGCCTAAAACAGCTCTATTTCCAGGACTGGCAAAGCTGCAGAATGAATAAACGGCTACAAAAACACCTCCCTTTGTGAAAGACAAACTGTTCATCATGATTGTATGACAGGAGCCAGATAATATGGCCTACATAACCATTAAATTCATCAGGATTTTCTTCAGTTATCAAATAATACCTAATATAAAAAAATTTCAGAAACAAGGGCTGAGGATTTAGCTCAGTGGTATAAGTGCCTGCCTGGCAAGCACAAGGTCGTGAGTTCAATCCCCAGTACTGGGAAAAAAAAAAATTTTTTTTTTTTCAGAAACGAAGAAGTCAGGAAAAGGAATCACTCAACTCTCCCTTCCAATCTTCTAATTCCAAAGTTGCATTTTCACCTCCTGTGGCCAACTTCTGGTATCTTTCTGCTACCTATTCTTGTCTTTGTCGTGTCTATATATCCTGGAAAATGTGTTCTATTCACTTGCCTAGAATGCTTGGAACTGCTTTTGTTTTATATTTAATGCTACTCTTTGATTTTATCATTGGTTAGGGTTCAACTTAGATATCTAAAGTAGTTCAATAATTTTACTTGTTTTCTTATTAGTGATTATACCTGGATTTGATGTTTTAATATGCCTAGAAGCTTGTCAATCTTAAAATACTTATAGTTTGAAAAGAAATATAGAAGTGAATTAAACAACAAGAAAAAGACTGCATGAGGTTTTGGAGAGACAGAGGTCTACACTAAAACCGTAACACTTCTCCTTCTCTTCATGTTGGTTCTCCGTTTCTCTTCTTACGTGCTCCAGAAATAATACCTGGCTTTGCAGTTTTGCATACTTCCACTTTTTAGTACTTCCAGGTCACTTCTGCAACACTGATTTTGGGGATAATAAAACTTCCAAATTGAATGAGTTAATTTCCTTTTTCTTGTGAAAGGAGAACAAACAAAGGTGGGCAGAGGACAGAAACAGCTGGCATGCCCTCGCCACAGCAGGCCCCACAACAACTTGTTAAAGCACGTTTTAAGTATCTACGAATGATTGCTGTTTTTCATTCACATATGAACTCTGTACGTTAACCACTCTGTGGATAGTGTTCCTCTTTGTAAGCATGCAGAAATATTTAATCAATATTAAATCAATACAGCTTAACTGTAATTACATCTTATTTTAATTTTCTATACTAAATTGACATTATTTACATTAATATTTCAAGTAATTCAGTAAACACTTATTGTACACCTATCATGTGTAATGAATTTGTTATGCATCATAAAGTATATATGTAACCCCTCCAGAATCTTGCTTTAAAAAACTTGGCTACTGCTGAGAAAATATGACTATCAATGAGGTAATTATAAACTTGCTCTTACAGTAAGCAGGTTATTCCAATTGGGGGAAGCCAGGTAGTCAGGGAAGGGTTGGCGAGGATGGCCTTACTCAAGTTAAACTATGCACTGAGCCAGATCCTGGTTTATCCTTTAAGAAGAAAGCAGCCTTCACCTCAGGGGGGCCTGAGTCACCAGGTAAGAAGTCTGCCTATCCTGCTTGAGAGATCATATGGAAAGCACTGACATTATGTGAAGACAGAACAGGACCGCTGAGGTCAGTCTTCTAACAGTCTCTAGCAAGGAACATACAGTAAATCAGACATTTTAGAAGTGGATTCTCTGGCCCTGACCACCTCACCTGAAAGCATGGGGACCAGAGAGAAAAAAAAATGACTAGGTAAGCCCTTCCCAATAAAATTGTAGTATTAAGTCAACAAATTTTATGGTGGTTTATGAAAGGCCAATAAATAACGGAAACTGAGCCAACATTTTTACTTCTAGTCAGTGGTAAGCAATGCGATGAGATCTGTGCATCAGGAAAATCAGCACTGCTACAGTGTGAAAGGCGATCTGTAGAAGACATCTGGTGTTAAGAAACGTAGGAAATAAGGGCCAGCCAAGTCTGAACCTCACATAACAGTACGCTGGGGGTGGATTGCAGAGCTATGCAATGGAATGGGGGGGGTAATAGAAATTCATGACCTTGCACTTGCCAGACAGGTGCTTTCAACAGAATTTTGTGTCTAGTTTTTTTGAGACAAGGTCTCACTTTGTAGTTCAGGCTGGCATCAAACCCATGACAATTCTCCTGCCTTGACCCAAGAGCTGGGATTACAGGCATGTGATAGCACACCTGGCTCTATGGGATTTTTGTATGTAACTGGCCATCGGGGCAGGAAGAAGGAAGGAGGAAATGTTGGATGCTGAGATCAGGTGACTACAGGACAGTAATATTAAGGATAAATGAGGCAGATGATGAGCTCAACATCAGAAAATGTAATGTCTTGGGCCACTGTTTTATTTGCAGTACTGGGGATTGAACCGAAGAACTTTGTGCTGAACTACACTATATGCCTAGCCTTTTTGTTTTGTATTTTGAGACAGGGTCTTGTTAAGTTGCTTAGTTGCCTAAGCTGGGCTGGAACTTGTAATCCTCCTTTCTTAGCCTCCCACAGAGCTGGAATTATAGATGTATGCACCATCATACTTAGTTAATGTGTTCGTCTTAACAAAATGAAATACTGAGGTAAAATAACATTCACAGTTGCCAACACAACTGTGTAAATAATTAGTCTGGAGTTTAGCAGAATTTAAAAGAGCTCTAAAAATCAGTTAGTCTTTCTATGATAGGCAAGGATTTAAACCTGAAATTTAAATTTCACAACTTTCAAGTGGGTGGGCTAAGCCTTTTAACATAGAACATTATTTTCCTCAACTGTCAAATGACTTAGAAACTAGAACAGGTAAGTAACCCACAGGGGTAAAATGATGTTTTAAACCCTTTTTTAAAATTAAAACTTAATCATCTGTGAGGTCACGACACACTGCCCCTTCTATCTCAAGTACTGCTTACAGTCTCTACCCCTTGACATATTTTCATACAACACTGAGTTACTTTTGAAGCCACAAATCTCACCATGACAGAACCAAACTCCACACTGTGGCTTACAAAACACTGCACCGTGTAACCCTTGCATGGGTGACTCTTGCAGACACCGTCCCCTCATAGTTCTTCCCCCAGGGACAGTGGCCATGCTCCCCTTTGACCGATTATTCCTTTTCTTTCTTTTATCCTTTGGTAGTGGGGATCAAACCCATGGCCTTCCAAAGGCTGGATAAGTGCTCTGTCACTGAGCCTGTCCCAGCACCTGTCTTTGACCAGATTCTCTCTCTTCATCTTCCACTTCCTCCCTTTCTCAAGAGAACCTCTCTGACACATTCTAGGTATCTTTCCTCACCACATTCATTCATACATCCTCACTTCTCCAAAATACTTACCATGCACTGATTTGGTAACAGTTATAGAAAACCTTTTTTAATACTATTCTCCTCAGCCAGAACCTTAAGGTCTAAGGAAGCAAGACCATATATATTTTTTTGAATTTTGTGGCCTCAAAACACAGTCCACTACTAGACATGAAGTACAGTGTAGACACTACAAAAAGTGCTCTTGGAACGTCAGTTTCTTCTCTTTTCGGATGAAGATTAACAACGGAACCTGCACCACTGAGGGAATTAAAAGAGCTAGTATGTGGAAAATACTGAAGAGTATGTCTGGCACATAGCATTATGTCTTATTCAAATAAAATGATTACATTATTGGATGTCTAAGAATAAGTTGGGAAAAATCTCGAATAAAGTCATGTAGATGGTAAACCTATTAAACAGGCTTATACTATAATTAGCAGATGTAGACCTGTTCACCTATCCTAGTTTATAAATTTTCAGTCTCCTTAACCCATACCACAACTGGATTTTTCTACCTATCTTACTCTTATTTATTTGCAGTAGTAGGAGGTGAACTCAGCCTTTGCACTGAGCTACTTTCCTAGACTTTTTAAAATTCTGAGATATGATCTCATGAAGGCTGAGCTTGATTGTGACGTGTCCCCAGGCTCATGCAGTTATGGGCATGGGCATGGGCATGGGCCACCATGCCAGGTTTTCTTCTATTGCTGTTAGCCTTTAGGATAAAATCTAAAGCTTCTAATGACTTTTATAGAGGCACTAGGCCTAGGATCTTCAGTCGTTGCCTCAAATTCATCAGTTTACTACCTCGATAAAATAGATTATTATTTCGGCAAATCCCGAAAGCAAGGTCAGGCTATTTCTCATGTCCTATTTCCCACAAATGTACTCAACTGAAACACATCATAAAATCTTCAGCCTCATCTCCTCTTCCTTCCAGCAGAGTGAAACAAAACAAACACCCTGCAAACACCCAGGGCAACAGCCACCCATGCACTGAGCCCAATGGAGGGGACTTTGGTGTTCTGGGACTGTAGCGGGTACACTGCAAACACCATCGAGATTGGGCACAGGCCCAAAGTTGCGCAAAGTTTGGAGACATCGGAGGTCACTGCTCTGGGGTCACCCGCTGCACTTGCCAGGCGCCGCGGGGTCGCTGGTCGCACAGGTTAAGCTCCGCGATGCCAAGGGGCTCTGACATCGATCGGGCAGTCATCGCAAGTGCAGGGTGCGAGGCGCCCACTTGTGCCCAAAGGCCGCGAAGGGCGGTCGCGTCCCGCACCACGGCCGAAATTCAAAGTCACAGTCCTCGCCTTCCGCTCCCACAGGCCACGGTCTGAGCGTGCACTCAGCCGCCGCCAAGGTTTCGGCTCCCGAAGACTACAAGCGAGGGCCATCGGTGGAGGCCCGGTTTCTCTGGGGTGTCGCCGCCTCGCAGCACGCCCAGGGGCCGGCCCGTGGAACTTCCTCAAGTGGCGGGAGGGAACCCGGCGCCCAACCCCCGCCGTCGCCAGCCCCCGCGCGCCCCGGGACTCAGCTCGCGCCCCTCGGCTCGGCGGCCCCTGCCCCTGCCCCCACCCGGCTATGCGCGTGCACCCCTCTCGCTCCGTCTCCTCACTGACCCGCGCGCCGGCCACTTACTCGCCACTCAACTGACCGGTTCGCAAGGCGGTCTCCGCGCTGCGCGTTCTGTGCCCCCCAACCGACGCTTGCAGCTGCGCCGTTACCACCGAGGGCGCAGACTCGCTCCTTCCGGCCCCGCCGCGGCGTCACCTCGCGCCTGCGCACAGCGCCCCCTCCCGACTAAGGACAGGAAGAACCATAGAGGCAAGCCGGGTGCCAGGGAGAAGGGACCCTGAGAGCGAGACCATAGAGAAGGCAGCCTGGCCTCTCCTGCTGCTCACTCAGCGTGCGGACCCTTGACTCCCCCTTTAGGTGGGAGGACCAAAGGGCCTGGATGCTCGACCCCACGAGGTGTCACTGTCTCCTCAGAGTTCAGTAGGGTGGGAGACACATAGCTAAGGAAATCACAGGACAACCAGTTAATTCCTGCCCCCTCCCCTGCCATGCTTGTGTCGTGTGACAGGTCATCTGTTCACTCAACATGTGTACTCTGAGGGCTCTCTGTGTGCCAGGCACTGTTTTAGGGAACAGGGGCATCACAGTAAATTGGGTCTCTGAGCTCTCAAAGCTTAACTTTTAGTTGACCAAGTCAGGAATTAAAATTCCTGTTCAGGCAGGATTTCAGACAAAGATGTAACTAGGACAAAATAAATCTGAGAAAGAGCTAGAGACCGTCAGGGCACATGTTCTGTGGAGAGGACACTGGTGCAGAAAACCGAATGATTGGAGGGAAAGAGCCACGGGGCCACTGGGAGGAGAGACGCTTCAAGCAGAGGAGAGCAAAAGGGCAAATGCCTGGTATGTTGGAAAAACAGCAAGAATTGCTAGCGTGGCTACAATGAGGGAGTGGGAGGCAGGGAGGAGGAATGGGGGTTGCCCAGGCAGCGGGAGCCCAAGTTTTAAAAGGTCTTACTGAGCTATTTGGAATTCATTCTAAGTGTGGGGAAAGCTATTGGAAGCTTGAGAGTAGTGACATGAATTATCTGCTTGTGTTTTCCAGAAATCATGTCGGTGGCTGTTTGGAGAGGCACATACAGTAGTAGCAGCTCTACAGGGAAGTAGCGGGAAAGCCAGTAGAAAGTAGACTACTTTTGGCTTTCCATTGTTATGACAAAACACCCGAGAATAATGATTGGGAGGCATAGTTTATTCAGTTCATAGCTTGTTTGGAGGCAGCAACATCCTGGCAGAAGGCGTCATGGAGGGGAGATGTTTTCCTCATGGCAACCAGGAAGGAGAGAAAGAAGGTGGGGGACACTAAGCAAAAAGGCCAAACAAAATACATTCTTCCATGCCACACTCCAATGACTTGCTTCATCCAATTTGGACAACCTTCTGTTAAGCCCACTGCGCTTTGAACGCCTGTAACATGGATGTGAGGTTACGTTTCCAACACATGAACTTTCAGTGTCACCTTCAAACCATTGTCAACCTGCAGGTCAGCAGATAGATGCATGAGAAAGAAAGGGGATGGGTCTCTCCTCATGGCACATGCTTCCCAGGGTTCAGTAAATCATTAAATCATTATTGTTGTGTAGTTTTGCATCGTGTTGAGGAAAGTGGGAGGAGAGGTGGTCCAGATGTAGCAATGAATGCCCTGCTTCAGGGTAGTGGGACATGGCCTGGTTTACACAGGCAAGAAAAGGACCAGAGGTATAGAAAAGAGGGAAAGGAAGCCAGAGAGGAGGGCCACACCTGTGATCCCAGAACTCTGGGAGGCTGAGGCAGGAAGACAGCAAGTTTAAGTCCAGCCTGGGCAGCATAGCAAGATTTTATCTCAGAATTTTAAAATGATGAGGAGGTAGCCCTACATTGAATCTCTAGTGTCAGAAAAAGAAAGAAAGAGGAAAAGAAAGAGACAAGAAAAAGGAAGGCAAAGGATGTGGAGGGGGGGGAGGGTGGACATTACTGATGACAGGTCATACAAATTCCAGAGAGCTCAATGGGCAGAAGTTTAAAGGATAGACAAAAATGATTTTCTTCCTTTTTTTTTTTCATTTTTATCGGTACCAGGGATTGAACTCACAACTGCCTGCTTGCAAGGCAGGTGCCTATGCCGCTGAGCTAAATCCTCAGCTCCTGATTTTTTTTTCTTTCTGGTACTGAGGATTGAACCCAGGGGCTTTTGCATGGTATGTTTTTTAATTTTTATTTTATTTTTTGAGATGGGAATCTTACTATGTAGTTTATGCTGACCCCAAATTCACTATGTAGCTAAGGCTGGCCTTGAACTCATGGTGCCTCAGCCTCTCAAGTACTAGAGTTATAAATGTGCTCCACCAACCACACTTGGCTATTCTCTATCTTGGTACTATGGTTTCACTGAGTTGTCCGGGCTGGGCTCAAACTTGTGATTCTTTTACACAGCCTCCCAAGTAAGTGAGTAAAATAGGTACATACCACTATGCCCAGGAGATAAATATAGACTTACCTGGAGGTGAGATCCTGGAATAACTTTGAAGGTAAAACTAAGATGTATCCATTGGCTTTCTACAAAATACTTGAGAACCAATCTATGTAGAGAAAAGTGTCTGAGGTTCCAGACCAAGACTGGGCAGGTCCTTTGCTTTGGGCCTTGGATGGGCTTACCAGGTGGCCATGGTAGAGAGCAGGGCCTGGCAATTGTGGCAAGACAGCGTGGATCTTTCCAGCTCCCTGAACTCTGCTACATTGGTGTCATATCTAGGGGACAAATAATGAAAGTGCCTCCCTTAGCCTATCTGAAAGATCAGAATGGTCATATTACCCATTGCTCAGTGATCTTGCAAAGATGAAATCGGGTCACGTGTAAATCGAGGGGCTCTCCTGGTAGTGATTTGTTCAGAGGTTGCTGGTGTCTTAAACATTCTACGAGCCATAAAAAACAATTTCCACGTCTCTGCATGTCTCCCAATAAGGGCAAGAAGCAGCCACTTCTTTCAGCCTTCCTGGATCCTCTTGTATCTCTGATGCTTCAGGCAGCGATTCTAAGACAGATTCCAACTAAGGCTGCATGTGGATAGATAAGGTTTTGCAATGCTACTTTCTCAATTTTGTTTTTCTTTAGATGTTTCTCCATCCCCTTCCTTTTTTTGGAAAGAATTGCGAGAAGATTTCTTGTTTTTATGCTTACAAAAGCTCCACTCCGCTGGGGAGATGGTGCCAGTTGATTCCATACAGTGACTTCAGCACACCAGGCACACATCCAAGGGGAAAATACCCGTTGTGGTTTTCACTAATGACGCGAATTAGCCAAAGGAGTCCTCTGAGGAGGGATGAGAGACAAACATTGGGGGTAGTGATGATAGGGGTCCAGAGGCAGCATCTGGTGCTGGCTGAGAAAAGCCAGAGAAGGGACAGACATATGGAGCTGTGTCCAGGAAGCCAGTGGAAGGTGGTGCCTGAAAAGTGGCCATAAGAATCTCTGGATATAATGGAGCTGGATGTAGGGCCGGGGACGTGCAGGGTGGGATGCAGGCTGAGAGCATATCATGCAATGGATGGATCAGTGGGTGCCTTCTGCAGAGGTGACTTGGGAACCAGATGCCACCCACACCTGGTGAGATCCAGACATACCCTGGGGAAGGAAACAGGGCACAGAGGGCAGTGGATGGGTGGAGGGTTAAGTTCCTATCTCTGCATGTATTGGGACCTCAAAAAGAAGTTCAGCTGAGCGCTGGGGAATGAGAAAAGTTGTGTGTGAGTACTAAGGAGTTTGTGCTCTGAGAGTCACACGAAGCAGATAAAGGGGCCCAGAAAGGCTATCTGGGTTAGGTTACATAGTCGTGAGATGCAAGGGCCAGACGGGCACAGGAATAAGGTTTGATTAGAAAGGTGAAGTGTCCAAGCTACACAGAGGATCAGACTGCTCCATCTTATCCACATGCCACAGCTGGGTCCATGCCCAGCTTCTCGAAGAACCACAAAGCTTCAAAACTCAAAGGGAGCCAGCCTCTCCCAAGCCTCATGTATTGGAGCAATAACACTGCCAATTTTTTGCATAACCCACTTATTGCTCGTTAATAATGTTGTTTCTTAGACTTGTTCACATTTCATAAAATTACATTTACTTCCAAAGGAAACTACTTCCTCGCCATAAGAAGAAAATAAGTCTTGCTTTGCACAATCAGAAAGTAACCATGAAAAGTCAAGGAAGCTGGCACATGCCTGTAATCCCAGCACTCTGGGAGGCTGAGGCAGTATAAACCCAGGCTGGGTGACTTAACGAGATCCTCTGTCAAAAGAAAAAGAGTTGAGGATGTAGCTCATTGCAAATCCCCTGTGTTGAGTCTCCAATACTGCCAAAAAAGTCATTGAAATAAAAGTTACTCGAATTAAAAATATGTAATTATTTCTCATTTTCAAATGTGTTAACTGCTTTTAATTCCTTCATAGCCCACTCCATTATCATGTGTTGAAAGTTTATAATTAAATGGCATAGATACTTTAAACAATTTTTTTTGAGATAAGATCTTGCTGTATAGTTAAGGCTAGTCTTAAGTTTACTGTGTAGCCCAGGCTGCCCTTGAACTCAGAGTGATCCTCCTGCCTCAGCCTCCTGAGTACTGGGATTACAGGCGTGCACCACCACACCTGGCCAAAATTTACATTAAAGTAAATGAACCAGTCAACTGCAAGTAAAGATTATGTGTTAGTAAGGTGTGAAAAAGTGTAACTGGAAACAAACTCCTTTTAGGGAAGAGTGGAATCACCTGGGATGGGTCAAGATCAAAGAAATACTTGGTCCATGTTATTGACTTGAAAATAAAGAAGTTCTATGTCAGTAGAGTGTTTTGCTATTGCTGTTCATTTTCATGTTAACCAGCACCAAGAATCAGAAAGGGCATAATGGCAGACGCCTGTAATCCCAGCTACTCTGGAGGTTGAGGCAGAAGGATCCAAAAATTAAAGCCAGCCTGGGCAGCTTAGTGAGACCTTGTCTCAAAATAAATAAGAAGAGCTAGGGTTGTAGCTCAGTGGTAGAACTGTACTGGTTTCCATCCTCAATACAACTCCCCTCCCTCCACAGTCAGAAAGGGTAAAATACAACCTATTGGTAACAAGTGATGTTTTGTTCTTCTGGGAAGATCCTTAGCGTTTGGGGCAGGAAAATCGCAACCATCTGTACTGTGATTCTTGTGCGATTCTGTGCACATGCGCGTGCACAGGCCTGCCTGAGGGCTGTGACTGTCCCTCGCATACCTCTGTGAGTTGTCAGAACACTTACTAGTTTTATTTCCTGGATCTGCTTACCATGAATCCAACCAGCACAGTCCTTTGCCACAGTGCAGCACCCCTGTCATTTTCAATTTGTACCTCGTCTGTCTGTTCCCAAGAGTCGGGAACCTTGCCTCAGCTTTATCTCCATGAAGCCAAGCTGGTCTTGTCGTGGAGGGAATGACTCCAGAACTCAGGCTGCTTTCAGAAGCAGGAATTTCCTGCCATTTTGGCCCATTACTTGTTTAAAAAAATGAGTTGCAGAGGAATAATTTATACGCAGCACATGACCCTCACATCAAGTGTGCCTTTCTGTCAGTTCTGACAAATTTATACACCAACACAACCATCCCCACCATCAAGGTGGACATCATCTCTATCACCCCAGTCATCCCCTGAGCTTCTTCCATCCTCCCACCCGACATGAGGCAGCTCCTACCTTCCTGTCACTTTAGACTAGACTTGCTTTCAATATAGTCTCACGTAATGGGATCAGACAGTTTGTGCTTTCATGTCTTTTTTTCTCTCGGTATGCTTATTTTCTTTAACAATTTAAAAAAATTTTTATTTGAGATTGAATCTAAGGTCTTCACACTGAGCAACATCGGCAACCCTTTTTTATTTTCAGACATGTACTTGCTAAAATTCTGTGTCACCCAGGCTGTGCTCAAACTTGCATTCTTCCTAACTCAGCCTCCTCCCAGATGGTAGGGATTATAGGTGTGTACTGCCAGGCCCAGCTTCGGGGTATTTTTAAAAAATTTTCCATTCTGTTTAAAACATTTTCTTATTTCCTTTGTGAATTCCCTGTTGATTCAGGATTATTTAGAATGTGTTTTTGATAGTTCAATTATTTAGGAAGTTTTTTAGAGAGCTTTCTCTTAGTGAGCTCTGATTCAATTCCTTTGTGGCTTGAGAGCATACTCTGCTGTCACCCTAAAAAAATTTGGGAGGCTCATCATATGGCTGAATGCAGGGTCTGCTTTGGTGAACTTTTTGTGCACATTTGTGATGAATGTGTGTTTTGCTAATCTTCAGTGGGGTATTTTGTGCCCATCAGTTAAGTCAGCATTCAGATCTTCTTCCATGTCTCCTCTCATGTTCTGTCTTCTTTTTCTGGCAGTTAGTGAGAGGGGAAGGGGAGCACTAAATCCTCCAACTTTAATTAAGTTTGCTGATAGCACATAGTTGGGTCTTGCATTTTTATCTTATCTCACAACTGCTGTCATTTAAGATGGATCATTAAAGTGTAACATAATTATTGATATGGTTGGGTCTAAGCCTACCATGTTGCCATGTCTTTTCTGTTTGACCTTTCTTTGTTCCTTCCTCTTCTTTTCCTGCTTTCTTTGAGTTGAAATAATTTTGAGATTTTTTGTGCAACTCTGGCCTTCTGGATGAAGGCCTGCGCTTCTCGGCTGCCTCAGGACTGCCAATCTCTCTCCCTTCTGCTCAGTAACACTGTAGGGTCTGATTAGGTTTTCCCTCTCTGGGCCTCTGATCTGGAAGTTGCTCCTGGACAGGGAGATGGAGAGATTATGGGGTCCACCTCACCTCCCACCCTCATCTCATGCCACTAGTCCAGTTCTTTTGGCTCCCAAGGTCTGGAGGTGTCCTTCTACACATCAGTTTTGTAGTTGTTTACTGTAGGAACAGAATGCTTATCTTTATTCCTCCACCAGCAGAAATCGCAAGTCTCAGCACTGCCCACCTTAATCTTATCCAAGGCTGAGGATCTTCAAGTCATGGTTTTATATGATACTTATTTGCTTGTTTGTTTGATCGATTGGTTGATCGCGGTCCTGGAGATTGACCTCAAGACCTTCATCTCCAGTTCTTTTTTAAAATTTTTTAAAAATTTTGAGACAGGAAGGTCTTTCTAAGTCACTAAATTGCCCAGGCTGCACTTGAACTTGTAAGATCTTCCCATCTCAGGCTCCCAAAGTGCTGATACGTGAATTATTTGCGTACACATTAGCATAGGCAACCATTAAGATGTAAACATCAGAATACTCCTACTTAGCCAGAGCTTGTGGTACATGGCAATGGTTTGGAAAACCCTGATCAGAAGGCAAGTAGCTTGTCAGGATGGTCCTGTAAGCTGCCTGTGCCCAGCTCAACTTTCAGCTTCCAATTTCCTACTTTTCTCTTTGTTTACCTGCTTTCTCTTCTCTTCTTCTCTTGCTTCTATTTCCTTCCCTTTCCCTTCCCTCCGCCTCCTTTCCCTCTCTTTTCCTTCTTCTTTCTGTCTCTCTGTCTCTGTTTCTTTTTATTCCTCTCTCTGTTTGCATTATTTACCTTGAGTTAAGTTGTCCAGCCTGGCAGTCTTCCTGCCGTACCTCCCAAGTAGCTGAGATTACAGACAGGTGCCACCATGCCCAGCCGATTTCAATTTCTACTGCACACACTCTCGCTTGTCTCCCACTTTCTCTTCCTTATCCACAGCTGCTGTGCTTTGGGTATGGTTTAAGTGTGCCTACCCGAAGCTGCATGTGTTAGGAGCTTGGCCCCAGTGGATGGCTGAGGAGGTGGTAGGACCTTCATGAGTGGGGCCTAAGGGGAGGCCCTTGGATCATTTGGGGCCTTGCTCTTGTGGGGTTAAGATAATTCTCATGAAACCCTAATTAGTTCTGAAAAAGGATTGCTATAAAAATCTGAACCTGGCTCCACTCAGTTTGTCCTGACTTCCTGATTTTTTGTTTGTTTTAGCAATGCCAAAGTTTATTTGAAAACAGTAAAAGTGAAGAATGGGAGAGAAACCGGCTCTGCAGAGTAAGCTTGGACCAAGAAAAGGACAAGAAATGCAAGACAGAGCACACTTGGGAGAAAGTAGGACAGACTATTGTGAGCAAACCCACAATAGGAAGTCTTCTTGGCATCTGTGTTCTGTATTCTGCCCAAATCTTGAGGAAACCTTCAAGAACTTTTACATACAAGTCCGAGGAGCAATGCTGGGACCCCCACACCTTAGGCTGATGCCAGATCTGGGTTATTGTATTGAAAATCTGCCCAAGTGCTCATGAGAAGCCCACACAGAGGGCTTTGGGAACTGTTCCATGCATGTGTTCTGGCATCTTATAGTTAACAGTTCATACATACTTCCCCAGCTAGTTTTGCCATGCCCTAATCTCCTACGTCATTTCCCCAAGAAATCCTCATAATTCCTCATAATTCTTTATGGGAGGCTGAGGGAGTGGGGTCTTTGTCTTCTACAGCTTCTTCAAGCTGGAAGGGGCTGTAGACCCTACTTACTGTGGGTTATGTTCTCTCCCAACTGCCTTGGGGTGCTGTGGCTCACTGGCTAGACTGAAGAAGGAAAAACCTGTCAGAAAACAGTAAGAAAAGAGTTAATGACCATTG